AGGGGCAAAGTAGAATGTTCTTATGGCTATATTTTCTACTGGTTGAATGTTCTTCAGATATTATGGGCAGTAGACAAAAATCAGGAATACCCACTATGACCAAAAGGCATGCACTAGGTAAAGCAATGGATAATAGGAAATAAATACATCTTAGTAATAGGAATTACAATGTAACAATTCTAGAGACCGCTGGAAGGAATTAGATAAATGTAACCATTGTTACTACAGGCACCCCATCCCCCCGTAGTAGCAGTGGTTACATTTATCTGCCAATTCTCTCCAGCATTCTCTAGTTTAGCAATGCAATTTTTATTTCTTATAATAGAACCCTAAGTGTAAGAAATACACACACCTACAAAAACCCACTTTGTACAGATGTTCACAGTTCTCTATTTAGTGAAATTGGCCCCAATAAAAATGGGCGCAATCTGCACTTTCAGGGCCCTTTAAGACCGGCCTTTACTTAATGTGTGCTGCATTAAAGCAGCCCATTCATTTGTCCGTTCACCCACCAGAATGGACCAAAAAGCGAACATGCACAATTTTTTTAATGCTTGTGCATCGGAGGTGCATTGTGATGTCAATGACAATGAATGGCACCACAATTTACATCACATGCATTAACACATGAATTCTCATAACACACTGCACCAAAGAGGTCTAAATGGGCCCTAAAAAGGATAACTTTACCACAAGGCAATAAAAGAAAAACACACACATATGGATTATATGTGAGCTTATAAATCAAAATTGTGTATGTAAATGTACCCACCCTTTACAGATATTGACATAAATGAATCGTTGCTGTGCAGCCTATTGCTCTGCGTTAGCTGCCATACAAAGTAAAATGCAGCACCAAAAAGGAGTTTGTTCTGTTCTATGTGACTGCAATCCACTAGGACTACAGCAATATAAAAGGACATCTGTAGAGTGTTGACTGCAACCGCTCACCACCACCACCACCTCCTCCTGAAAATGCCATTGCCTGGCCCGTCCCCAATTTCAGTACTTTCTAAATCACTGGCTTCCAACACGTTTGAGGCTGAAGTATGTCACAGTTCAGTCAGGATTCCTGATTATGATAAGTTCTATGTAAGTGATTCGCAAAGTGATGAAGCCATAAGATTAGCATGACAGACAGGGACTTAGCATGTCCAGACGGAGAGGTCAGCAATGGCAGCCTGCACGCATTTTAATTGAAACCTCTTCCTATGAAAATTAGTTGTCCAGTTAAGTGTGGGGGGCTTCAAACTACACTACATCTCCTACACATGGTGCGTCTGGCTAGAGGCTGTTGTAAAGTGTTACTGTAAAATTCACCTGAATGTTATTTCTCTGGGACGGCATTTCCTGGGCCATATTTTATGATCATTCTTGATCCACATTTACAAGCATATCTAGCACCGGATGTTGTTTATATATATATATATATATAATCTCCGTATTTTTCCGTGTATAAGACGCTACTTTTTCATTAAAATGTTTACCTAAAAATAGAGGGGCGTCTTATACACGGGGGCCGAGAGGAGAACCGCGGTTGCGAAACTGCCGAATGTGCCGATACCACTGCAAACTACCGTAGCCTCCCGCGTGAAACGGATTGCAGAGACAAGCATAAGTTTTCCTCCAATCATAAATCTTTTGTACCCGAGGTCAGCTTTCTCCCCAGCAACAGCTGACGTCAGTTACAAAAGATTTATGATTGGAGGAAAACTACTATCTTGTCTCTGTAATCCGATCATAAATCTTTTGTACCTGACGTCAGTCGGCGCTCAGGAGAGCAATGCATTATACCATTTAAAATATTGATTTCAGAATTTTGGGTAAGAAAAGTTGGGGGCGTCTTATAGACGGAAAAATACGGTGTATATTACAATGCAATCATGTTGAATGACTGCCAAGATAACATTAGATCAGTCCTCTAATGACTGTGCTGTGTCTAAACAATTATTGTAGGATAATCAATAAGGCCAAAAGACATAACACAGTGGTCAAACATTACACTCTAGGACCAAACGTTTGTGCACACCAGACCATCACATCTATATAAACCTGCTGGATATATCCTCCTAGAAGCATGGGCATTTAATGGAGTTGCCCTCCCACTCTAAAAACCATGGGCATTAATATGGGAGTTGTCCTACCAACCATTCTGAAAACCATGGGCATTAATATAGGGGGTTGTCCTACCATTCTAAAAACCATGGGCATTAATATAGGGGGTTGTCCTACCATTCTAAAAACCATGGGCATTAATATAGGGGGTTGTCCTGCCATTCTAAAAACCACGGGCATTAATACCGGAGTTGTCCTTCCATTCTAAAACCATGGTCCTTAAAATGGAGATGCTCCCTATCCCTTAGCAGCTATAACAGCCTCTACTCCTTTGAGAAAGATTTTCACAAGTTTTTGTTGTGTGTCTGTGGAAATTTGTGACCCATCAGCCAAAACAGCATTTTTTGGGGTCAGGTACTGATGTTGTAAAAGAAGACATGGCTCACAGTTGGCATTTCAATTCATCCTAAAAAGGTGTTCAGTAGAGTTGGTCAGAGCTCTGTGCAGGTTACCCGAGTTCCCCCACACTGAACTCCCCAAACCAGGTCCTTATTGAGCTGGCTGTGCACACAAGGTTGGATTAGCACATTTGTGGAAATGTATTTGTATGCCATAGCATTACAAGTACCCTTCACCAGAAGCACCTAAAGTCAAATATTTGGAGGGGTGTCTGCAGTATTTTGGCCATCCAGTGTATGCCCACCACATGGACTTTCCAGAACGACTGGAGCATAAAATTGGCGCCATCATGCATTTAGACGCCCTGTAAGTACGCTCCCAGCACCACTTATCCCCCAGGGAAAAATATTGATCCTTCACCTGGGATCACTCAACCCCCAATGTGTCCGTACAATTCAAGGGATTATGCGTTATCCCATCTAACCGAATGCGTTAAGTAATAGCAAGCACAGCATGCATACGTAATGAGCAAATATAGCTGCCCTTTATACATATATAAAATCACACACATCACATAGAAATAAGACTGTATACACACATTAGCCACATCTATTCACAATACACCGATGGCAATCACATTAATATGTAAAAAAACTAACAAAACAAAAAAACATTAAAAAGACAAAAAAGAATCGATACCCTTTAGAGTCTATACAGTCAAAAGGAGGCTTGGCAAACAAAACACAGCCTTATGTTGCGGAGAGGAACACAGCTGTTCGACCTGATATTCTTTTATTGAAGTTATTTTTGTAGTATTTGTCATAGAAGGCACTTACAATACAGAGAAATAAAGAATTCAAAAAAAGGCACCAAGTGTGCAAACAGTAACCGACACAAAACATGAAAAAGGACGGAGGAGCACCTTCCCCCGGGAACAATACAGTACATGATTCTGCTACAGACCTCTTGTGATGTTGTAAAACAGTTAGGATTTTCTTACAAAATTAAAAATTCTTCTACTAACAAGATAAAAACACACACAGACACACACACCCACACACTGGCAGGAGTCACAAGTGAAGTGGTTCTTTAATCACTGGGGGCTCTCAGTTTTTGCATGGCAAGAGATCTTGGTACATTTCGGCAAGGTGAGCTGCTTCCCTCTGGCACCATGTACCCACTGGGAAGATTCACCCTCTCTATTTGTCCTGGTCACTCCTCACTTTGGAGATATTAACTTAATTTTCTTGTTGGGTCTATGGGACAGAAGACACCCCCCTCAAAAAAAATTGTTAGATAAGGTATGCGATTGAAAACAGGTTTTATTTTAAATCCAGTGGTGTCAATAATGGGTCTCAGTGGGCAGGGTCTTGAAATGTTAAAATGCCATGATGGGTGGATGTCAGTCTGGAGGAGTGGGTGCTTTCAGACAGGCTGTATTTGCATACAGACAGTCTTAGATAACACCCACATGTCATGCCTAGCCTCCATGATTGATAGAACTGAAACCCAAGGAATGAAAAAGGGGTGGGCCTGGGACAGTAAGGCTGTAAAGAAAAGGACTAGATGATGGTGGATATCCTCCTTTTCATCCCCTAAACAGGTCCCCCATTCCTCTTTCTGCCGTCTGTTTGTGGGAGCGGGAGTTGCTATTTTATCCCTATGGAGAATAACTTCCTAGTTGTCCTTTGCAGAATTGGAAGGAATTGTGGTTACATCATGCTACCTTCTGTGGGTGGGTACGATTGGCACAGCACCCGTCGCGACCTGCCCATATCCACTGATCCATTAATCAGTGCACTGACAACAGTGTGGAGGATAACAGTGGGAATGTATGACGTGAATGGAGCTTTGGCTTGTCTCTCATTTTCTTGTAAACACTTAGGGGTCTATTCACGAAGCTGCCGAAGGATCTGGCTGATCCTTCGGCTAGCTTCGGCCCCAGGACCCCTTCAGTTCAGTAGAACCGAAGGGGTGCTGTACGGGCTATTCACAATAGCCCGTACAGCTCCTGATCATAGCCGAGCCGAACGCATATGCATCGGCTCTGCTGAGCCGTGCTGAAAGCCGAAGCTGGCCGGCCGCTCGGCCTGCTTCTGACAGCTGGGCGGAGCCAGCCGTGATCTTACGGCTGGCTCCGGGCACTTTCAGTGCGATCACCGTCCCTGGTTAACTGCTAACCAGGGAGACTGATCTCCAAACAGCAAACTCTCCCTGGCGCCCTGGGAGTCTCCTGCTCCTGCGGAGCGATGTGAGAATAGAAAAAAAAAGAAATGTTCCCATTGAAAAGCATTGGCACATTACTATTGGCTATTTCAATTTGCAATAGCCAATAGTAAACTAGCATTGTTCCCGCCCTCTGCTTATGGACTTGATGGGGAACTGCAGCAGAGGGCGGGTACAATGCTAGTTTATTATTGGCTATTGCAAATTGAAGGTAGGTGATCTGCCTAATATTCCAACCTACTATGCCTCTTTTATAGGGAAAGTAAATCATTGTGCCCGATAACTGCACCAGCAGAGATACTTTTTTTTGGTACAAACACCTATCCAATGCAATGACATAATGAAGAAGGCCATTTTTGACATAGGTAGCCCTTCACTGTTGCTTGGGTACCTACAGCAGTTTTGGAGCTCTCCGTATAAGGCAGCGGCTTCACCAACTTCTCCACATCTGCCCCGCTGGAGCCCACTTGGGTATAGGAATAGGAGCCGAAGAAGTGCGGGTTACTGCCCCAGAAGGACCTCATGATACGCCGAGGTTTTGGAATGTTTGGATTCCCTGGAGACAAAAGAGCAAATGATGAGTAAAGCACAATCAG